AACAAAACGACGGATCTGCTTATCAAGACCCGGCCACCAGAACCGTTGCTTCACCGAGGCAACGGTACCTCTGACACCGGGATGAGCAGCTAATTTGGAGGTATGAGCCCACTGAAGAACCGCGCGCCGGGCGGAGACCGGGACGAAAAGCAAATGCTTAGGGCAACCTCGCGGCACGATGGAATGGGCAAGCGCCCGTTTAACAAGTCGCTCTATTCCCCAGATAGTCGCCCCAACCACCCGTTCAGAAGGAATAATTCCCTCCTGGGTTAGGGTGGCTACAGGGGGCTCAAAAATTCGAGAAAGCGCGTCGGGCTTAACATTCTTTGATCCAGGACGATAAGAAATCGTAAACTCGAAGCGTGCGAAAAACAGAGCCCAACGCGCCTGACGCGCGTTCAATCTCTTGGCGGAACGAATGTATTCGAGGTTACGGTGATCGGTCCAAACGATGAATGGTGTCGATGCTCCCTCCAACCAGTGACGCCATTCCCCCAACGCCAAACGTATAGCGAGTAACTCGCGATCCCCGACATCATAATTGCGCTCTGAAGGCGAGAGACGGTGAGAAAAGTACGCGCAAGGGTGTACCTTACCGTCTTGAGATGAGCGTTGGGAGAGGACGGCCCCAACGCCCACCTCAGAGGCATCAACCTCGACTATGAACTGGTTAGAAATGTTGGGAGAGATTAAGATGGGAGCAGTGGAGAAAAGACTCTTAAGACGATCAAACGCACATTGAGCGGAGTCAGACCAAACAAAACGAGACTTGGATGACGTAAGAGCGGTTAAGGGAGCCGCAACCTGACTAAAGTTCCGAATGAATCTACGATAAAAATTAGCAAAACCAAGGAATCGCTGAAGAGCCGTGCGTGAGTCTGGAACAGGCCAGTCAGAGACCGCTTGGACCTTAGTCGAATCCATCCCTATTCCCTCCGCCGAAATAACGGACCCGAGGAAAGTCACTGAGTGAGTGTGAAACGAACATTTCTCCGCCTTGACAAATAGACGATTCTCTAATAAGCGCTGGAGAACGCGTCGGACGTGCTGAATATGAACCTGAAGAGAGGGTGAAAAAATCAGAATGTCGTCCAGGTATACAAAAACAAAGATGTTGAGCATATCGCGAAGGACGTCGTTAATGAGTGCCTGAAAAACGGCAGGAGCGTTTACGAGCCCGAACGGAAGAACGCGATATTCAAAGTGCCCGAGAGGAGTATTGAACGCGGTCTTCCACTCGTCACCCTCCTTTATCCGTATCAAATGATAGGCGTTACGTAGGTCTAACTTTGTGAAAAACCTCGCTCCCTGCAAAATCTCAAAGGCGGATGACATAAGAGGCAACGGATACTTGTTCTTAACCGTTATGTCATTAAGACCCCGATAATCTATACAGGGACGCAAGGACCCATCCTTCTTTTTCACAAAGAAAAACCCAGCGCCGGCAGGAGAGGAGGAGGGAACAATGGTACCTGCATTAAGAGCCTCAGAGAGATAATCCTCTAGAGCCTTACGCTCAGGAATCGACAAGGAATACAGTCTACCCCGGGGTGGCGTGGTACCGGGAAGAAGCTCGATGTTACAATCATACGGACGATGAGGAGGAAGAGAAGTGGCCCGGGCACGACTGAATACCGCTCGCAGATCGTGATACGTCTCCGGAACTCCAGACAAATCGCCTGGCTCCTCCTGAAACACAGAGACAGAAGAAACAGGAGGAATGGCAGAGACAAGACATTTAACATGACACGACAGGTTCCATGATAAAATCGTTCCTTTGGCCCAGTCAATATGGGGGCTATGTTGGACCAACCAGGGATGGCCTAAAACAATGGGGGAAAATGGGGAACAGAAAACTAAAAAGGAAACAGTCTCGCGATGATTTCCAGAGACCGTGAGTGACAGGGGAACAGTCTCACAGCTGACCTTAGGAAGGGAACTACCATCTAGGGCAAAAAGGGGAGTGGCCTCCTTACGATCAATGAGAGGAATACCTTGCTCACGGGCCCAGGTCTCGTCAATGAAATTCCCCTCGGCCCCAGAGTCTATCATGGCGTTGGTAGAAACTGTGACACACTGCCAGTGCAGATGAACAGGAATAACCGTGTTGACACGACAAGAAGGGATCTGAGAAGTTGCGCTCGCCAGCAGCCCTCCCATCACTGGCGAGCGTTGGCTTTTACTTGACACGTTGAAACGAAGTGCTTGTCGGAGCCACAGTAGAGGCACAGTCGATTCATAATTCTCCGTTCTCGTTCCTTGGGGGAAATACGTAAGCCCCCCAGCTGCATAGGTTCGGTAGCCACCTCCAAGGTATTTGAAGAGGGAGATGAGGAAGAAAAGGACGCGAGGGAACCAGGCTCAGCACCCCTCGCACGTCGCCGCAGATCAAAACGCTTCTCAATACGGATAGCAAGGTCGATGAGAGGATCAAGACGACAAGGAACCTCTCTGGCGAGAATCTCATCCTTTAATTCAGCGTTGAGCCCCTCCAGGAAACGGGCCACCAGAGCGGGCTCGTTCCAGCCGCAAGTCGTGGCGAGGGTACGGAACTCAATAGAGAAGTCGGCGGCAGAACGTCTCCCTTGACGAAGTGAAGAGAGCAAACGGGAAGCCTCGACTCCATGTGCCGACCGATCAAAAACGCGAATCTTCTCCTCCTTGAACAGGTTAAAATGATCCAGGAACTCTGCCTCCGCCTCCCAGCTGGCCGCTCCCCATTGACGAGCCCGTCCGGAGAGAAGGGAAATCACGAAGGCGACCTTGGCGCGGTCCCTGGCGTAAGTTGAGGGTTGAAGAGAAAATATTACTTCACACTGAGTAATAAATGATCGACACTGGGTTGGCTCACCCGAATACGCAGGTGGATTATTGATTCTTGGCTCAGACGACGAGGATGACGGAGATAGAAGTGAGGTCTCCTGGCGAAGATGATGTAGCTGAGTGGCAAGATCAGACACCTGCGCAGCCATAGTCTCCACCACGCGTCTTGTAGCGGACAACTCCTCCTCGTGTCTGCCCAGTAAGGCTCCCTGGCGCTCGACAGCAATATGGAAAGGAGTCTCATTTGCTGGGTCCATACTTGGTCAGGTTGTTCTGTTGTAAGGATAGATAAGACCCAGTCGCAAATGACAGTCAATATTATTCTTTAATGAAAGTAATGGAACAGCCGCCAGCAAACATGAACAGAAATCTTCTTGTAATAAAACACAACAAAAACAGGCAACACTTGAGGCCGTTAATAAATTAACTGAGAAGTCCTCTTGGAAATGATCCAAGGCGAAAGCCGTCGTAGAAGCACGGGCACAGCTGGGGCAAGGCTGAGATTACACAGCAATGGTAACGACAGATGACAGCGGGGAGCGGCAGCAGCATAGACAAGCACGGCACTGTACACAGAGAACTGGTTAGAGCATAAGCAGATTTATACTTGCAGCAAGACGTCTTTAGTCCCCGACAGGACAGGACAGGACAGGACAGAGGGGAACAATCACTAGACGCTTCTATCATCAGTAGTCAAAAACAACCTGACAAAGAGACAGGAGGAAGAGAGAGAAGAAGTAGCAAACGTAATTAGTGAGAAAAGGGAACAGGTGTGAAGTAATAGGAGCAGAGCAGCGGGAAAATAAGGAACAGCCGGGAGTAAGTAATTAAGAGCGTGTAAGAGAGGTGAAAGCAAAAATGAAAGTGACCACAAGAGGGCGGAAAAGGATAGGAGAAACCAGGATCATGACACAAGGGTTTACGGTCTGTAATTTGCCACGCTCCTTCGGGATCTCTCTCTCACTCTCTCCCTGTTTCTAAATGGTCTAGCACCTGTGTATTTAATGGACCTTCTATCGCCCTACAATCTTTAAGATCACTATAATTCCAGGCTTCTGGTCATATCTAAGTCCATTAAAGGAGGGAGGGCGTTCTCACATTTAGCTCCTAAACTCTGGAATAGTCTTCCTGATATTGTTCGAGGCTTAGACTCGCTGTCTAAAACTAGATTAAAGACGCATCTCTTTAGCCAAGCATTCACATAATGCTTACCTTTTATACCACTGTTGAATCAGATCGAATGCATTAATATTATGAACAGCAGCTATGCTAATTATTTCCCATCTGCTTTTCTGCTGTTATCTCGGGACGCTAGTCCCGAGGTAAATGGCGTTCGTCAGCTCCAGTTTGTATCCAGCCTCTCACGGAGACTTCAGATGGCCCAACACCTGCGATGAGACGACTCGACGCCTGTGAAGAGACGACTCAACGCCGGCGATATGTTATGCCCTAAATTAATAGATGATTAACTAACTGTATTTTTCTATGTACATTTCTTAAATGCACTTTCTGTAAAGCTGCTTTGAAACAATATGTATTGTGAAAAGCGCTATACAAATAATTTTGAATTGAATTGTTCCTCTTCCTTATATTAAGTTGACCTAGTTCATGTCTCAGTTTGTTCCCTTGGTTCATGATTCCGCTCAACTATTGTCCTATATTAAATAACTCATTAGGTCCACTGTATTTAAGTCCTGTATTCATTCAGATCATTGTTCGGTGTTAAATACAGAAGCATTAATATAGTTTAATGTCTGTTCACTTCCGCAAAACAAAACAAACAAAACACACTCTACTACCATTATTTATTAAATAATTGTCTTTATTCAAAAACCTTTTGAGCATTTAAAACTTCACAGGAAGTTCTTTAAAATTGCCATTGATATAATGTTTTTTTCTTTATATATAAATGTTTTTACTCAATATGAAATAACCTGACTGTAAAAGATGTTTAAGATCAGCTCTGAACTCCTCTGACTGAAATCGCTTTCATTTAAAATAAACTATAGTTGTAATGAACAAATATACACAAAACAACATGAATACAACATTGGTTAAAAAAGTTGTTATAATTAACTGTGTGTAATGTGCTAAACTATACAATTCTATAAATACATTTGCTCTGTCAAACAGTTTCATATTTGCTCATCTGTGACTAAAACATAAGCATGGTTTAGAATTATAATTAGATATAGTGAACTAGCATTTAGGGAGGAATGAATGAAGAAAAACTGGAACTGAGAAGTAACAAGAAAAAAACAAACAAATCAAGTTTATGATTACAGAATACGTATGATGTGGCATTTAAACACCTGACTGGAAGACATTGGAATCACTATGAGAAAAAACAATGAATGTGATGTACAGTAATATATATAAATTAAGAAATAAAGTTGTTAAATGTTTTATTTCCATAAGCCAAGCCAATAAAGCATACTACATAACACCGTTCACTCAAGCCATTTATTCTAATGTAAACTAATCCTGGTTCATCTCCATTCCTGGACCTCTGACCTCGGCATATACCGTCTCTTGTCCTGAGCCCTGTACTGAGGTGATTTTAGTTTGGGAAGTGGAGAAGTCAATCTCTCCATAGTGGACTATGTCATTCTCATCCTTTGGCATCTCTAGCTCTTCACCCGACACAAAACCACCATTAGCATAAATGGTCTGCACTTGTTTTTCCAGACCCTGAAAAGGCAAACATAATAAATGACTGTTTATGTGGATCCACTGTCCTCGGTTTTTGGTTTCTGTACATAATAAACCATTATTGTAAACGCATGATATTGATATCTGCTTGTTATGGCACTTCCTATTTGAAATGGCAGTAATGTGATCTGCTAAAAGAGTGTAAAACATACCTGATCTGAGACGTCGGTTTCCATAATAGTTGATGCCTTTACTCTTTGCACTCTGTATTAATAGGAAATTAAGAAATACATAAAATACATAACATACCACCATATTGTGAACACCAGATTAAATGTTTCAAAGAGAAATGACAGGTCTGAATTTATTTATTCTGAAGTATGGTTGCTCAATTCCATACAATACACCATCTAACTGTGCTTACCTTAGGAAAAGTGTTATCAGAAGAAATGTCAACAGAATTGCTGAAACTCCTACTACACAGCCAATGATCAAAGACTGATCGAATGAGCCTGATTGAAAAAATAAAGCAAAATTAGTTGGTCAATATAGGCTGTGCAGATCATTTAAAAATAAAATTCAATCATAAAACTGGAGCTAACTATGATGATCATCAGATAGCGTTTAGTATCTGTACATAGAAATAAACTCACCTTCCACAATCAGCTGAATCTCTTCTGAATTCTGAGTACCATGTTCATTCTTTGCTATGCAAAAGTACCAGCCTCCCCTGCTCCTATTTACAGTAAAGGTCAGTTCTCCTAAATCCAGCTGATTCGCCTGTCCACGTTTGTGCCAGGAGAAGGTCATGTTATCTGATGGATTGGCTTTGCTTTTGCAGGTCAAAGTCACATTAGTGCCAACAGAGACTGAAGCAGATGGATCGATGGTGATGCGAGTTTCTTTTGGTGGAACTTGAGGGCAAAATAGAAACTTCTTAGGATAAACTAGATGTTTTAATAGTACACATCTGAACATAATAATGCTAAAAAACTACTCTAGATCACTTACACAGGACTCGTAGCATCACGGTGGTCTCCACAGTTGAGTCTTTAGATGATTTTCTTGGATATGTAGCAGTGCAGGAGATGTTCTTTTTGTGATCCATGTATGAAGCTTTGAAGGTCATGTGTGAAAACACTGACTGGGTTTTATCAGGTTTCTCCTGTAACTGTGGTGTAATGTGGGCAGATTCAGGGGTGTTAGACCAGGATATTGTAGGAGGTTGTTTTGGGCAGGGGGCTTCAGCGGAGCAGCTCAGATTGACTGTTGTGTTCTCCTTTACTTCTTTCAGATCGGGTGTAAAGATGAGAGGTTGTGGTGAATCTACAGGGCAAAGTGAACACGGTATAAACTGCTGTTAAATTTAAGGAAAACATACAACAGCTATAAACATACTCCAAAAACACAATCAACATACCCAGAGAGGATACAATAAGTTTTTAAATAAACCAATAAATTACCATGCATTAAACCTAAGTCACATGCACGAAAATATTATACATTCACAAAAAGCAAATTATGTGCACACAATAAAAATATGTATTCATAAAATACATTTAACAAATCCAAAACAAAATTCAAAGACGAACAATGTACAAAAAGTTTTGAATGGCTAAATTTGAGTTTATTTGAGTTTATTATTGAATCTGAAATTGCAAATCGTCATGAGTTTATGTATCGTTTTAGAATTGTGTGCATATTTTAATGGAAAGTCTAATCACTCTTTGCTGCCATATTTGCAAGGACTTTTGGGCAGCTTTTTCGCGCATTCAAGTCCTGTCTATTTGAATTGAGAAATCCTGAAACTTCAGTGTTTGCCACTCATATTTAAATAACATATTACAAACCAGCAGGAAAATCTGACATTAACTGTCCCATAAATGTGGTTTCTTATACTCAGTGTTAAAAAATGGTTTCTTATACTCAGTGTTAAAAAATGGACCAGCAGTCCTGAGAGTTTTAGAACAATGACTGTTTCTTTGGCTGCTTTGGCTTTTTTATGTAGAATCCATGACTTATTCATCTTGCTCATAGGGGTACTTGATTCCAGTTTTTTGGAGTTGACTGACTCTCACTATAGGAGTTAATGGAATCGTTTCCTCGAATTCATGTACTTTACATCAAAACAGAGTCAGGAATAGAACAAGAGAGCAGTCATTGTGTCACGGGTTGGGAGGCGCTGGTCAGTAGGCATGACGAAGATGATAAATTCAAACAGCCTTTATTAACATACAGAAACAGGCAGAAGATTCAATTTAGCCAAACTTCACTTACACATTGACAAGAACCGACAAATAAACGGAGAACAAAGAGGAACTTGAATTCACAATGATAATGAACTAAATGCAGACAGGTGAGCTTGACAACTAATGACTGGTGGGAAACTACAAAGGACACATGTAACTTAAGGGGAAAAAACTAAGGGGCCGTTTACACAACATCATGTTACACTAAAAACAGAATTTTTTTTTAAAACGGGTTTCAAAGTTCAATTTTTTGAAAAAGATACTGTTTATCATCTCTGTGTGTGTAAACTTCAAAAACACGAATCTGTGAATATTTTATTAACGTTGCACGTTTGGGACGAATGCTCTGTAGAAGAATGCGTATATGTGCACAGACGTGTCTCTCTTTACAAAGTGTCATCGCGTACTACTGACCTGGCAGCATAACACAGAGTTTTTAATCGTTTTCAACCGTGTGAATGGGGATCATTTTGATAATGTTGTCATCTGCACAAAGATACAACTTTTCCATTTTTAGTACATCATTGTCATGTAAATGTAGCCTACCATAAACACAAAAAGCCCTAATTTCCCTTTATTAAAATAACACACTTTTAGCATGACTATCCAAATTAGTCCAATGTAGGGATGACATACCTTGAAATGATGAGTAGCCTATTAACATTGTTACCAGTAATTAATTTTAGAGGAATGAGTAAAGAATTGAGCAATTTCAGACAGCAATAAACGATTCCTGTACTAGAGCTGAACTTGACTCAACTCTTTAGATTCAGTTGCAATTTCTCCCATTCATAGTAATACGAGTACACAATCTTGGTATATCTAAAGTCTTTGGATGCACGTCTAAGCAAAATGTTTTTGGACAGTAACATATTGTGACTCAAAAGCAAACTTTATGAGGACAGTATTAATAAGGAAGCATGGAATTTGCTTGTCAGTTGGTGAAATGTTACAATCTCATAACTATTGATAATTCACCATTTTAGACACTTTTGTGCTGTAAATGAAAACAAAGGCACAAGCAAACTCATGGAAAAGTGTATTCCCTATAGCTACGCTAAACAATGTGATAATCTCTGCAAATTGCATGCTTCATTATCAACACTGTCCCGATAATGTGTTTTTAGTCACAACAACCAATAACACTTTAGAATAATAGTCCCTCATTAATGGGTAACTTATAGTAATGGAGTACAAAATACATTAACACTTCAGCTAGGCCTATACTATTAACTAATTTGGACGGACCATTATTCTAAAGTATTACCCAACAAACTATATCCAAAAACATTTTACTTTACTTGAATGCCCATCCCTGTCTTTTTTTCGCCATGCTTGATGTAAATGTTTAATTTTCATTCTGATCAAGTCATATTGTGCAAAAGCAAAACCGTGCTCCTTAAGTCCCGGCTGAAAAGTAGGGATGCGTGTGGGAGTAGAGAGCTCTCAGGAAAGTTTCAAAATACACACACAAATTCATGGCGATTCACACACTGATTTTCCAATTTCAGAATCAATAATAAACATTCAAAAAAAATTTAGCAGTTGGACATCTGAGGGGTTTTTTTGTTGCATTTTTCATGCACATAAATTGTTTTTTGTGCATGTGAATTGTGAATTTGCCTATGCAATTGTGTGCATCATATATTTTATTATTAAATTCGCCATGAAATCAAGATGGACAATTCTATTTTTTATTGAATATTGCAGTGTTTATATAATTGATTTATCCGTGTAAATACTTTTTTTTTAATCATGTGCCCTCATAATATCCAATCAAAATATCTTCCACTGCTTGCAGCAACATCAAATTATACAGATTTACAAATACGGTGCACTTCTACTGCAATACACAATATGGCGCCGCGGAATACGTCCCGCCATAGGCGGAGTTTGACATTCGAGCCAGGGGGGGCAAAAAAAAAAAAAATCATTGTAGCATTCATTCATTCATTCATGTAGCAATCATTGTCGTTCGGACACAATTAGGATAAATGAAATGTGGACCACTTTTGCACTGTTAAAATATTATCTTCAACCAAAACAAAAAGATTTTTAGTTTTTCTTTTCTTTCCTTTTTTCAAAACACATTGTGGCAATGAGAGTGATTAAAGTTATATTTCGCATTTTATTGTACTTCATGAAACATTTAAAACGTTTTGAGACACGGGAAAAATGAACAGTCACACAATAGCCTACTCTCCACGTTTGAAACACAATTGTGGCAATGAGAGCGATTAAAAAAAAAAAAGTTATTTCGCATTTTGTTGTAGCCATTTCATGAAACATTTAAAACATTGAGACACGGGAAAAATTAACGGTCACATAGCCTACTCTCCACTTTTGAAACATATTGAACAGCATATTGAAAGCAGTGTGTTGAGTTTTTCTCCATCTTAAGCAGTTATTTGGCAGAGAAATAAAACTTACAGACCTAGATATTGCTCAGACTAGTGCAACAGTAATTTTCGTTTTTTTGCGTCCTGCGTCGATAATGGTCTCAGGTGAGAGCTTGGCCGTAATGTCGCTTTCGATGTGAAGGATCGCAAGAGAAGAAAACCTGGCTGCTCCCATCGTCAACCGCAGCCTGTTCTTTATCCTCTCATGGAGAGTCGGCCTGGCATGAATAATACAGCGGTTTTAGTCCTTTTTGGGGATCCATGTGAACGGACGTGTCTGTACGCGAAAAACACACAGGAAATTCCTCACTTACCGCGATACTTTGAGATCCGCCAGTCGTGAGAAAATTAGCTTCTTTTTCAATACAGTAATTAAAAATAATTTAGCCTTAACTTACTCATTATACCCGCAAAAATGATAAGATAAGACAAATAAAATGAGAAAATATGAATACAGTATTTTTTTTTTTTTTTCAAAGCACAAGGCAGGCATTAATTGGCTCTGGTCTGGGGGGGCAGTGCCCCCCCTAGCCCCCCCCAAACTCCGCCTATCCGCCTTCTAAATAAAGAGCCAATTGCTGATCTGTAAAGTCATTGCGTCACTGCAGCTGCTAGAAGCTCCGGTTCATGCGCTGTGGCTGGTCTAGCATAAAAAAATATGCTTTTTAATGCTTGCTATTTGAGCATAAGAAACAACATTTATGGGATTTTGTTGCGGATTTAAAATATGCAATTGTTTGTTCGGCAAACAGTTTTTGATTTTTCAGGATTCTCCCATTCAAATAGATCTAGAGAAATAGGTATTGGATGCTCGAAATAATTGTCTGGAGGCGTTGCCGAATGAACAGACTTTCCTTGAAAGGGTCTTCTCTTCTCTGATGAAAACACCATTATTTAATTTATTTTTAATTAAAAAAATACTCAGGGCTTTCGCAATCGTGAATCATAATCAGGAAGTAAAATGTCACAACAGATTAATATAGTTTGGAGTTATATAGTTAATATAATATGGAGCCCCACTCACCTGAGACAGAAATGTAGATGGGATTCAGATTGTATGTGTATAACCAGTACTGTGGCTTTATTTCCACCCTGAAGTAGTAATTGTCTGAATGATTGTTCATCACATCATAGAAAACTGTGGTACAGTCACGCTGACTAAGATTTCCAGTTATCTCTATACGACTGAATCCTGTGCTGATGTTTGTACTTCCATTATAAACTACCAAACTCCCTGAGTTGAGAAAAGCATGTTCATGCTTAATCCAGACGCCAAATATACTTTCTGCTTTCTTCAGTTCGTTGTCTGGCACTCCAAATGCACAAGGTATCTGCACACAAGAGCCGCTCAGTGCTGTTATTCTGCTAGGCAAATTTGCAGTTTCTGAAAACCAGAACAGCAATATAAACAAACACCTTAAAATATCGTGTAGTGCAAAATGAGTGTAATACAAAGTTCAAAATTAAAGCAAAATTAATTTTCTTACAAAATACACAATTTCTGAAAAGAAACTAACAAACATAAAGACACTTTAAAATATCGTTACACATAATTACTGTACTACAAAATGTTTTTGATTATTTTCATTTTAGTTGTACAGCAATAGCTGTCTCACCTGCTGCTGACGATTCCAGTACGAGTTCATTGGAGAAGAACAGAAAAATCATGAAAGGAAAGACAGACATCTCGAGTGCTGTAGGTACAAACACAAAAAACATGAGTTTCCAATCTACAAAAAGGTTTCACACAGATGTCACACTTTTTCTTTTGACTCTTAAAAAGTTATATTTTCTGAATTATATTTAATGTGAATATTTTTTAATTGGATAGTCTCAAATGTGCTTAATGAGAAACAACAAAATGACAGAGAAGCCTCACCTAGAGCAGGACAGTCCGTCGTTCATTCAGAGTAAAACAGAAGTCCAGCACGATTTCCTCACAGAACTATGGATTTCTGTGATCTGACTACTAGTTTTCAGACAGAGTAATGATGCAGAGGTTAACTATTTCCAGGAGTCCCCAATGTGTACTTTCGGCAGGTGAAGCATTTAATATTACCAGAATAAAATAAACCAAATGCCCAAGTCTGTAAATCATGCATATAGAATATCAAATGACCTTTTACATTTAAATTCTTTCTGTACTTCAGTGCTAGAATATCATATAAAAGTGTTTTTGTCTGCATTAAACAACTGTCTGTTGCACTTCCTCATGCAAACCTGTTTATCAACCCATCAGCAAAGAACAGAGAAGCTTTAATACTGTTTATCAACCCATCAGGAAAGAACAGAGCAGCTTTAATACAGTTAATGATTACTGTTCTGAAATAATGGTGGATTGTGTCATAGTGTGGAAGCTTGCTATAAAGATATATACTTCTCGCAATTCTCACTTCATAACACACAATTGTGACTTCATATGTAATTCTGAGAGAAAAGAGTCAGAATAACGAGATGTAAAAGTCACAAGATTTTTTTTTTTTATTCAGGTGGCGGTAACAAGCGTCACTAGGTTAGAAATCTGAGTAGGTAAAACGAAGTTTATAGGTTTAACTTGCAGTAGGGATGGGAACAAAATATATATTCATGTAATGACCCTGTTGTTTAGATATCTTAAAACCAGATAGATCATCAAAACAAACCACACAAAACATAATATAGTTCAATCTTTATTCAAGACAGTACAGAAAAACAGGGCATTTAAAACTTATTTCCCCCAAGTTTATTAAAATACTTAATGTTCTCATGTTTTGTTCGTCAATATGAAATGGAATAACTGTTAAGGGCATGACCAGCTCTAAACTCCTCTGGCTGAAATCGCTTTCATTTGCCCTTCTTAAATTTGCCCGATGTAGCACTTGTTTTCTGTTTCTTCTTGGCGGATCCTTTTTTTTCAGGCTCCTATGTGATAAAAAAAAAACAATATTTTACAAATAACTTTGCAATGAAGCAATTAAATATATATATATATATATATATACATGAATAAATCCACACAATTACCATAAACTCAATCATGAAAGTATTAATAAGTAAATTATTATTTTTCATGAAAGTATTAATAAGTAAATTATTATTTTTTTAGAGTATTTAATTATCTCAACATAGCCATTACAAGTTAGTTCCAGTCATTACATCCTACCTTACGCTTAGAAGAGATTGATCCGGTTACAGTAAAGAACGTGTCCAGACGGCCCTGGGTGCTCACTTGTCTACTCTTCATGATCTTCTTACAGCCGTTACGGATACGATCCTCACTAACAACACACACATTTAACACATTCATATTTATTTGTTTCATCTCAAACCTCACAGCACAACAGGCTTTCCACCAAATTGGTGTGGTTTTTATGCCAGAGCTGACGCTTGGCACAAACATCATCAAATCTTATACACAAATAAACATGCCACATCACAACTAGGGCTGCAACAACTAATCGATAAAATCCATTATTATCCATAATTAAAAATAATCGACAACGAATTTGATCATTGATGACGATTAGTTGTGTCTGCGTGCGGTACTCGAAAACCATCAGCCAGTCACGTCGCTTTACAGTAGTGAATAACTGAAACTAAAATAGCGGAGGTGAGCTGCTGTGGGAAAGGTACACGATCAAAGTTGTCCGAAACATGAGAATGCTTTAAGTTTTTAGTTTTAAGCGCTTCAAACAAAAGCATAAGCGTTTAATGCGATCCACCCTCTCGTGCTTTGACAGATACATGTGCTGTTTAATGCCTTTGACATGTTTTCCTCACTGCAATATTTCTGTCTACAATACACATTTTGCTAAAATATGTTTTGTTAGAAATTAAGTGTAGGTTAAAGTTTTTACATGTAACAAGTAATCATATTTATGAGAGCATTAACAGTAAAGGCACTATTGTAGGTATAGCCCATTAATGTAATATAATTATTTTATAATGTATAATTTATAGTGAATGTGTGTGTTCTTCATATCTCGCACAAGTGAATATTTTGTGCTTTTGCCATTTTTAATTGTTATTTTAATTTCTGCTTTAAATAGTAAACAATTTGTTATTTTTAAGTTTAGAATGCAATGTTTGTATTTGAACCTTTTTTCGGTTCTAATGTACAGCATAGCCTACTTAGATATTCACTATATTTGGTTTCATAGGCTTTATATTAAAAATGAGTTTAATTAAAAAAATAATTAATGTATGATCATTTTTAGATTTTTCATCATACTTGTTTTTTTTACAGATTAATCAATTATCAAAATAATCATTAGTTGCAGCCCTAATCACAACCTTTGTGAACAAGCCATTTCATATCCAGAGCCATTAATGTGGCATCAAAAGCTGCTTCTGCAATGGTTTGTAGTCATTTAGATATAGAATGAATAAAGTAATTGCTGTTTATTTACAGCTAATTTTATGAAATTAACATTTTACAGTGACCTTGCTATATGACAGTGAACTAAATCAAACCCTAATTCTATAGGAAGTAAATACACAGTACTGAGTGTAATTCCACCTTTAAAAGAAAGGGTTACGCTATTTTTAAGTGTCTGTGTTACAGTGCAATTATACATTTAAGTACAGAGTAATACTAATTAACCACATGTTCTTACTATAGGGTTTGGATTAGGGTGTAGTTTTGGGTTAGTTGCATGTAATTATGCACAATTTATAGTAATTACTATAGTGACTATAGCGTGTAACAAGGACACTGTAAAATAAAGTGTTACCAAGTAAAATGTAACTAGTATTTGTAATTTAAATCATTTTATTTTAAACGGACTTTTCTGATGTTAAAGTCCAGCACCCTTTTGGCAGAAAGTAGTATTTGTAGAGATTTAAGCTGGTTTGTACCTGAACTGTTTCTCAGCACACATGAACTGAATTAGTTTCTCCTCGTCAGGTTCGTTCCACTTCAGATCGACAGATGGGCCGTCCACGACCTCAGGTTCCAAGAACAGACCCCGAGCCTCTTTATACAGCCAGTCCTCTGGAGCGGGGTGCTTCTGCAGCACAAACCACACAAACAATATGTTGGAAGCCTACTTAAAAGATGAAGGCTGGATGTTGTGGTTTTTGAGCAACAATGAAACTGCAATTCACTTTTCATGAGAGAAGTAGCACAATTCACTTCTGTCTTCTGCAGAATATTACGAGATTGAAAAATTATTTAAGCAAATTTACAGCAAGAGCTCTCTAAGAAAGAGGACAACTAAAAGAAAAAATCTTGCTATGTCAGTGCAAGTAAAAGTTGTGAAGTTAGTTAATATAAAGCTGATATAGGTATAGAGAATTGAACATTTAAGCTCACATTTAGTTATTTTTATATCTATTGATTCTAAAGCATATCTATATTAACTTTTTATATTTGGTCATTTAAACTAATTGCTTAACAATTGATAAACTAAATTTGTACATGTTTAATTATTAAAGCTGTAATAATTACATATCTAAATCATACAAAATTATTATAAATCAGTTTTATTATTATAAAAGCATTGCTAAAAGCCAGACGATTTGGTCTTTAAAAATCATTTGCTATGTAGTGACCTTTAATTTAGAGTAGAAACAGGGGGAGTGACTATTGTATCAGACATGCGCCACTTTGCTCACAGCTGATCGGTTCTATTTCGGTTTGAGGTCTCTTACCCAGAACATAACCTGCCCCGGAGGTGGTTAGCTGTGAAGCGCAAGTTACTATGGCGATGAACACAGCTAAAAGCCAAACCTCTTTCATGGTGCCCGAAACTCAGGGTTGGCGCAAACTAAACTGAAACATACCTGGCTTGCCACATAAACCATTGTATAGGCCCCTGGTATTAAGAACAACAGCAGAACTGGTATCTTTCTGACATTTATTTTTTATATGTTATTTGAAATGAAGTGTTAAATATACGTGCAACATTTCAGTCGTAAATAAACTATAAATGTTAGCTAGTTGGCTCATTACCTGCCTAGCGATGTATGTTTATGCTAAAATATAATTAAATAGTTGGTTTACAGGGGCAGTGCACATTAATAAACATGGCTGTAAATGTGCCAGAATTAGCAAAAAGGCTATTTTTCATCTGTAGACCCTTGACAGAATGTTAAAAAGTCACCCTAAAAACAAAGATTCTTATATTAATACACACACAAAAGAGACATTTTTTTTTGACATGATCAAATAAAAATTAAAAGTATATGATTCCATGCAGACATCGTGCTAAAATACATTAACAGACAATTTTATCTAAACATATATTGTGCTACATAAGAGGTAAGCAAATTACCAGTAGCAATTATTACAAAGAGGCTAAAATCAGAATAAGATACTAATGTTGACAGTGCTGAGTAGCAAGTAACCATTTTTTAAGATGAAACGTAACCATATTTATCCAGTCTTCTAATCATTGATGGGATGGAGTTCCATTCCCTTGTGGCTTTAACTGAAAATACAGACTGACTAAATGTACATTTTCTGAGAGGAATAATAGCCTCTTTTTTCTTTGAATATGCAGCTGTCAAGAGGTACAGCAGTCACGTGGTACAAGTAGGAGCTCTCAGACAATTCCCAACTTACAAGCTGT